CTGGATACAGAAGGTGCCTTTAAATCCACCTGAACAGTTACTGGCAAGAGCTCTGTTCTGGGAACTGCCTGGTCATCTCATCTACAGCTGCTCCAGTTCAGTGAGACATAAGCATGGAAATGAGTTATAACAAACTCCACAATGAGTCAGGTGTGGTGCTGACACCAGTAACTGCAGCACTCAGAAGAGGAAAGCTGAGGCAAGGACATTGCTGGCAAGCCTGAGGCCATCCTGGGCTACATAGTAAGTTCTGGGCCAGCCCAGGCTATGGTGTTGAGACTGCCTCAAACATTTCCACATCTCTTAAGGCCCTCTGTGCTTTGTGAAAGCAGATTGAGAAGGAAACACAAACAAACAGAGATGAAGGAAGTGGAAGTGTAGCTGGATCTTTCAAGGAGAACATTTTCATTGGAAGATAACCCTAGGAATCAACCAACATGAGAAGATGACCCACTTTTTGGTGCATGGGAAGGGGTCTGGTGCGAAGCAGGTGCACATGGCTGAATAGTACTGCCTTGAGAGTCAGATAGGTTCTGAGGGGGAAATGGAGCCAAAGCAAGTCCCTAAAATATTCTGGTTTACAGGTACTTACAGTGACACCCTCACAAAATTGTCCAGATTCCAACCCAAGATTATCAAGACAAGGGAGTCTGGGCTCACAATGCTGAGGAAGCTTTGCAAAAGGCAGGCCTAGGAGGCAGATCTTGCAGATCAAGCATCTCATGCTTTGTTTTTTGAGATTTTAAGAATGAAACAGAGTTGAGAAATTGATATAGGCACTAAAATATGTGATCTCTCCTTTGAATTATAACACTAAAAGCTAAGATTTTCCAGACAGTGGGAAAAGGTGCGTATGCGTATAAAAACAAATGACTTTTTTCCTGACTTTTGGTGCTTGAGAGACTGTGATAAACAGCTTATTAGTTATGTACCCACCATTTCCTGATTAAATAACTGATCAAATAACAAGAGGACAAAGACTAGAATGAACTGAGTGCTTACCAGGCTTGGCTCTTAAATAAGTTTCTTCCTAAGCAGGTGGTCTTCATGACATGAGGGTACTATTTTCCTACCTGCCAAGGCAGAAAGCTAACCAAGTTGGCCAAGTTGAGTGGCCAAGCCTATAGTAAGACTCAGTGGTCAAGCTGTGGTTCCAACCCTAATGTGCTGGAGTTTGCTAGTAACATCCACAGGATGCTTTATTGGAGGAGCCTCATGGAAGACTGGAGATGGCTGGAATTCAGAGTGATCATTTTCCTCCATCAGAGTCTTCAAAATTCCCCAAGCACTGGATGTCTCATCTGCTGATGTGTGTCACACTCCTTGGTCATAAAAAACAAGTCCTCATGGGAAAAGCCATGGCATCTTGATGATGTACAAATTCTTTTAAATGATCACTTGGTGTCATAGCTTATTGAAAGAGATCTGTCACATCTCACAGGGCTTTTCCCTACCTTCCCTGCCCTTTCATGACCTTTCAGGCAGGGGTAAACTTACTGTCTCAACATACTAATACAAATTGAAGGTGGTTAAAACACTTGTTTATTATCATGCTATGAAACAGTATATGGAAGGGTGGGAAGAACATGCCATCCTTGCCATAATAATTATCCATGGCTCTACTACACTTTTCTTCTTGCAAATCTATATTGGTGACAGGTGCTTTTGTTTAATGAAGATAACCATGACCTAATACTGCATCCTCAATGTGCTGTAGTTTATCTCTACGTGACATTTTCTATTAGCATAGGCCTTGAGAAACAGGAAGTCTGCACAACAGGCTTCAACTGATACTTCCCTTTCCCAACCAAAAATAGAGAGGTGTCTATGTCTCTTTGAAAGCCTGGGCACCCATGAAAATCTGGATGTTTTTGCTTCTCAAAGCTAAATACATGAAGCCTTCTCATTGGCCCACTGTGAAATAATACACAGTCCATCCTCAAATGCATTAAGAAAACAGTGCTCATGCATCTGTGGAGATGGCTCAAAAAAAAAGTGCTTGCCTTGCAAGCCTGAGGACCTGAGTTAGGTCCATGTAAAAAGCCATGCATGTGTGTATGTGTTTGTATGTACATGTGCATATTTGTATTCTCAGCTCTGGGGAGGCAGACAGGTACATTCTTGGAGCTTGCAGACCAGGCAGCCTAGCCTAATCATTGAGCCCTGGGTCCTAATAAGAAACCCTGCCTCAAAAGACAAAGTGGAAGGCACAACACTGGAGGTTGATTTTTGGCTTCTATACACATGAATCTGGGAGCATGTATGTGCACACACACACATACAGTGGGGTGTCTCAGTGTTCTTGCTGGAAGAGAGACAATATATTCTATTTAATTATAGAAAGGCTTTGAAGTTGTACATCAGAAATATACAAAGGCTTCCTATAGTGCAGTCTTGACTTGTCCATAGACTCACTGGACTCTTTAAGGGCAGAGTCCAGTATACTTCATTTTAAGAGTGTTTGTGTCAGGTATGGCAGCACATACCTGCAATGTCAGAACTTGGAGGTAGAGGCAGGAGTACTATGAGTTTAAGGATAGTCTGGGACACACAGCAAATTCTAGGCTGGCCTGGGGTATGTACTGAGCCTCTGTCTCAAAAATTTAAAACCAAATCCAAACAAAAAGTATTTGATCACGAAGCCATTCAAGTTTGAGTTAGAAAGGTCAGTAGCTAACTTTGCAGGCTTCCTTAATTAGGGTTGCACTCTTGAAATCTCTAAGCATTAATTTTTTTCAAGTATAGACAGATAAACATAGCATGAGGATTCTATGATATTAACCCAAGTTAGCACCTACTTCAGTATCTGACTAACATCCACCAGGCAAGAAGAGGTGCTGTCTTGCCCATTATTGAAATTCAGAAATACTTTCATACATGCTGCTCTGGTCCTCCTTATCTCCATTTCCCCATCCCTCATTGTCTCAGAGAGTCCTCAGATTCCTTTACTATCTGGCAACTACAGGGTAATTCCCAGTTCAGCAGGAAAGGACAAGCTCTGGGTCTGTGACGGACTGATGGGCATAAATAACTCCAGCTACAACCTTTGTTATGCCTAGGAGGCAAATGGGGTACAGTAGGCCTGACGCCCTAGCAAATGTCAGCAGTGGAATCTCACTCATCTGCAAAGATGGCCTTCAACATAGGTTCCCTGGCTGGGCATCTGGCTGTTCAGGACACTGATGCTGGCCTTTCCATGTCTTATTCCAGCTTTAACCACCACTCTGAGTGTTGAGTTCAGGTTTGTATCAATAGTCAAGGCAACTAGAGGTCAAACTGCAGTTCAATAGGGCCCATCTCTGAACTTCCACCTTCAGAAGCATGGATCACATCCTTTTTCCTTTGGATACTGGGGCCCCACGTTCAACTCTGACTTCTGTGGAGTCCTATCATCAGGTTGAGGGTTGATTTTCTAGTTTTTTTTTTTTTCTCTAGAGTCTAAGGTCAGACTCTAGGATCTGTCTATGCAGCATCTTCAGGTGGCATAGTTCCTAGACATGTGCCCCAACTCAGCATAGCTGCTGTTCTCAAAAAGTACAAGTCCATTTTGGGACATTGTTGTGGAATATTTCTTTAACTATGGAAAGACATGTTACATTTGTTTATGTTGGGGATATTACTTTAACTACATAAAAGTGTGTTACATTTTATTATGCTGTATTTGTTTAAAAATATAAAAATGTGTTGTTTTGCCTGCCTAGGGTACCTGATTGGTCTAATAAAAAGCTGAATGGCCAATAGCTAGGCAGAGGAGGGATAGGCAGGGCTGGCAGGCAGAGAGAATCAGTAAGAAGTGGAATCTAGCTCAAGAGAAGAGAGAACAAGGGAGAAAAAGAGGGAGATGCCCAGGGCAGCTACCAGCCAGCCAGACATGGAAGAAACAGGAAAAGTAGGATATACAGAATGAAAGAAAGGTAAAAAGCCTTGAGGCAAAATGTAGATGAAGAGAAACAGGTTAAATTAAGTTATAAGAGCTAGTGGGACAATCATAAGGCAGGACCAAATATTCATAACTAATAATAAGTTTCTGTGTTATGATTTGGGGGCTGTTACAACAAGACCTAAAATTCTTGATCCCCAAGTTCTAATCTTGATAAAAAATAGTGAGTACATCCTTTGAAAATAAGGATCATATCAATGGCAATGAGTATGGAAGAAAGAGAAGGATCCAGGGGCATTTTGGAGATAGACATTGAGAGGAACTGCACTGGGGGAGAAAAAAAAAGGGGTTCTACTTTCTTTATTTATTTATTCCCTGAAGCCATGGACTGAATCTAGGGTACTTAGAATTCAGATAGCTGTTGAATAAAGAATGGCTGCACAAGTGACTATCAATAACAGAGACAGGAACAAAAGAGAAGTTGCAAGGTTGGTTTTAGTAACAAAGTAGAAGAAATTACTTGATTTGAGGAATGCAGTACCTAGAACTACTAATTTCCAAATATGTCTACCTTTTCTCCTGCCACTTGCTGGGTAGGCTGTACATGGACCTTTTAAAGATAAGAACGGCCAGAGGAAATATGAGTTCCTGCTGCTTTCCTCATCTATACATGGAAGACTGCAGAAAGATAAATATTGATACATATTGCAAGTGCAGATCCCTGTAGATCTAAAGTGCACATACAATATACAAGACAACATCTGCTCAATTAAGGGATTGAATATTAAATTTATTCCTGCAGAATGATCTCTTATTTGTATCAATAGTCAAAGAAATTACAGGTCAAATTGATAAAAAATTCAATAGGATCTCAGCATTAAAACCAGCAGAGGAGCTTTCTGGAAAGACTGCCATACTTCCACTGCTCAACTGCTTTATTGCTTGTAGCATGACATGAAGAAATATAACTGGAGATGTCATGTGTGTATGATCTGTGCTCTGATGAAATCAGGAAATCAGGTGTCCTACTCTATGTTGCTGCACATCTCCTTTCTTTTAGGAAAGGACAATGAGTATGCATCACTCTCTGTGGTCCCCCACCCACATTGCCATGATTTACCTGTGTTGTAGCCCCTTCCAAGGGCTGGCCATGGACGGTGATTTTTCCAGAGATTTCCAAGATACCAGTCACTCTGGTTCTCTACCAAGCCCAGGACCTGTTGCCCTGAAAAACACAGAGAACATAGATGTCTTAGAAGCTGCAGCTTAGGTATCTAGGGCTAGAGAGTACCAAACACAAGGAATAATTATGCAGATCTTCATAATAACAGCTCGCATTCATTGGGGGCTTTCATTAAGTGCTAGGTCCTGACCTGAGTGTTTAACTTGCATTAACATTTCATTCTTACAATTAGGCAGCTGCTTTTATTATCTTCATTTTACATAGAAGAGACAGCTTCCCAGAATGGTTAATTACCTTCTCCAAGGTCATCTATTTCTGATAAAGCCAGAGTCCCCAACTATCCATCCATCCACCCACACAATCATCCATCCATCATGTATGTATGGATGCATTTCATTTCCTAAATCATGGGACATGATTTATGGCCTAAAATACTAATCTTTAAACATTCCAATTTGATGTTTTCCATTGTATATTAATTTATTGGCTTTCTGTAGGTTTTTTTTAACATCAAAGACTAAGGAATTACCCTTGTTTGATGAGATGAGAGCCCATAGTGAAGAGCCACCCTGTGACCAGCTCCTCACAGTGCTTCTGTTCTTACTACTTCTAAAATACATTCATGTCAATAAGCACCACCATGCCAATGCAATAGTGTCATCTGGAGGGGTAAGCACTCTTCTGTTCCCATAGTCAGCCTTGTCTCTGGTGGAACATAACATTTCAGGTGGACCATAACATTTCAGATGGGTTAGTTTTGTAGTCCATCATTTAGGGCTGTGTTTCTGGGGTGTCATTAATCATATTTGGCTGTGTCTAGTGAGTGTAATCCATCATTAAGGGATGTGTGTTTGGAATGTGTTGCAACAGTACTGCTGTGTTTTGTTAGCATGCTTCTGGGTGTTCATTTGGTTAGAAAGCTCTTTATTTCTTAGATTGTCCAACAGCATGAGAAGTCTCACTTCAGGTTAGCTGTGAAAGCCATCAATGGCTACTTGTGTGACTGTTGGTAAATCATTTAAAGTCCCTAAGCCTCAGTTTCTCTTTCTGTGAAATATGGATTAATGATACCTGCTTCAAACATTTGTTATACTAGCTCCATCAGTACTTGTATTAGTCACTGGTTGTATGAGAGCCTCATTCCCCAGTCAATAAAATGGCAGGGGTAATTCCAAGACACCTTTTACTGATGTCTTACATTAGAATTATATATATGTGTGTGTGTGTGTGTGTGTGTGTGTGTGTGTGTGTGTGTGTGTGTGTGTGTGTCTGACACTTGATGTGTCCATCTATCATGTCCCTTCCTGCACAGCAGGCAACCCTTCCCCCACACATGAAGACCTCCTAGCTCCCAGCTTCCTTCATAGCTTTTTTGCTACATGCTATTCAGTATTATCCATCTAGGACAGAAGTTCCCTCTGCTGCCTAATGTTAGGGTGGGTGAGACATGCACCCAGGTCAGGACTGAATAGCAACAACATCCTGGCCTCTAGAGGCCTCTGTCCAAAGACTTAACCTTGATTATACAAACAGCTCAATGGCCTGCCATTCCATTAAGAAGTGAATTCCATGGCAATACCTCTGGGGAATAACATACGCTTCCACAGCATCCTAACACACGCAGCATTCTGCAGTGCCTGCCTCATCTCCAAAGGAGTTATTTTAATTAAACACTGTGACTAACAGAAAAGGTTTTTGTCATTGTTTTTGTGCTGGCCCTGTGGTTATGATTAACTGTGCTGTTCTCAGTCTTTCCTACTCTAGCCACATACTAACTTATGAAAATGAAGCTGTCTTCTGCTTATTCATATATCAACAGTAATAACCATGCAAGAGCAAACAAGTTTGCTATACTGTTGGGACTCTGCTGCTGGTGTCACCAGCCATCAGATGAATGGCTCCAGGCTAGGAACTCCCCATCTCCCTCTTTTTGCACCTACTGGCACCAGACAGGCCTTCTGCTATTAGGTTCGGGGAGAAGAGAGGAGTGAGGAGGGAGAGTCAGAGAGGTATTCTGCTACTTACAACACATGGGAATGTGAGGCTAAACAATTGTTCTCTTGCTGTAAGGAAGGAAACATGACTATGACAAAGACAGAGGGATATATGTACTAATTAATTAATGCTATTAGTATACATTCATTGTAGAAAGTGAAGGGTTTCATAAAGACATTTTCATTAAAGTATATGATGCATGTTAACCATATTCACCTTCCATTATGCTCTTCTGTCCTTCCTTACCTCTGGTAGTCCTTTTCTTCTTTACAAAGGACACACTTCTACTTTTATTCTCTATCACATTCACCCTATCTATGTATCTATCAATGTTTCTATCTGCCCATCCATCCATCCATCCATCCATCCATCCATCCATCCATCCATGGATCCATCCATTCATCCAAGGTTCCACATTTGAGAGAAGACACACAGTTAACAGACCACATTTCTGATGGTTATTATTAATAATTTCCAGGTTTTCCTATAGGAGGACTAACAGTATTTGCATAGGAGGGATATATAAAATATAGCCCTGCTACCTCCACCCTACCCTGCTGGCCCTGGCCTCACTCTGATCTACCTTTTAAAACCTTTAGCTTCTGTAATTCTGATTTCCCTTTAAACACTTACCATGTCTTTTCCATGGGCCCAGATATCAGTCAGAGTCCCCTGGCTATGCTGATGCCTCCTGAATTCCTTTCCTTGGTTCTTTTTTCTTCTTGCTCTAAATTTTACGCATGGGTAATAGGATCTACTCTGATGGCTTCAAAATACCACTGACTAGAAGAGCCTTACTGATTCCAGCCCTTCTCCAGATTCCTTTCCTTCCTTCTATTTTATCTATTGTATTACTATCTTCATCTGGATGCTCTGCTACAGTGGGTAGATGTTTGAGCCATGCCCTGAGACATGACCCCTAGTGAGGCAGCAGGTAGCTGCTACATACCTGCACCTTGGGTGTGGCCGTCAGGGACCCTTAAGACCTGGGATGCACATATGTGCTCTCTGTACCTTGTGGATTTTGGATGCTGAGATGGACCAGGGCAGAGCTCGCCAGAGAACAGCTTGGAACTTGCCTCACTCTTCCAGGACCCTGCTATAATCCCTTATTTCTGTCTTATGAGTTACCTCCCCCCCAAATTCCTTTGATCATTAAGCTGATTCTGTGGATTGATAGCGATTTAGTTGCATTATTCTGCAATGACCTTAAACAAAAGATGACCAAAATCCAGTCTACAATCCTTTTCTCTTCAATATTTGTCTCTTCTCTCATATCATCCACCCCCCCCAATTCTTCATACCCTCACCATAATAGAAACCAATTCAACTGTCCCAATTTGTATGTCTCCGATTCATTTCTTTTCCTGATCCATGTTGCCTTCATCATCTCTGAATTACCTCAATATATTTGAGTCTGATCATCTTTTCCTCAGGACAGCTTGTACCACTCCACTCTGATGATTTTACTTCCTTGATTAAAATCTCAGATGCTCTTGGGGTACAATACAGCATTGATGGACAGATGAGTAGATACCACACCTCATACCCAGGAAAGGTCTAGCCTACACAGAAAAAAATATTGCAGATCACTGCTGCACATCAAACAAGATGTGCTTGCTTATATCATCATCAGGTGAATGTTAAAACCAGTGATTTCCCTGAGTATGATAGGGAACTCAACAATGTCCTACAACGTCATATTTCTTCTTATATGCTATTTTTGGATAGAAACTCTTTCATAGGGCATTGAATTGCATGCTCCAGTGCAGGATGTCTATAATAAGAAAAACATTTATAATAACTACCATTTAATAAACAGCCTGAAAAAACAGTGACCCTGTCCCAGGCGCCCCTAGTATGTTGGTGTAAAATAATAATCCTGAGAAGATGTGCACAAAAAGGTATTTAAACATCTCGAGTCCCTGATTAAATAAAAAGGACAAAGGGAGTGGATCACCAGCATTTCTTCTCTCTCTGAATCCAGACTGTGGACATATTGTGACAGCATCTCACATACGTTACAGTTAGAGCTGCACTTGCTGACATATATTCTCTGTCATAATGGAGTATATCCCTCAAACAATGAGCCAAAAGAAACCCTTTCTTCCTTAGGTTGCTTTGTCACATATTTTGCCATAGCAACCAGCAATCTTTTATTTTCATGTATTCACTGCCCACTACTGATTTCACTGGGAGCGTACACCTTGAAGACCCTGAGCTCTAAGGCTGAAGCTGATTCCTCTATAAGGAATTAGAATCTTTATTGTTTGGAAAGTTTGAAGGAAGCAAGATTGAAAGAGAGATTTGGCTTGTAAGTGAGATGACCAGGAGCCACTAAAGTTCACCAATGCAGAAAGGAGCTGCTTTGTCTGCAAGAAGCTTCCAGGAACTGGACAAGTTCAGACAGGCTACCGGATCCAACTCTCATGCTCCTGCTAAGAAGTCCTTTCCTTCACTGGCATTAGAGCCTACTTCTTCAGGATTCCGGCATAATTACTTAAGACCAGCTGAGAAATCCAGGTTTGTGGACTAAAAAAACTAATGGATTCTAAGACCTTCCAGTCATAGACAGTCATTGTTGGATTAGCTGGATCACAGCAGCAAGGATTTACTGAGTTTCTACTCTGCAGCATGCTTTTCTGACCATGAAGAACACAAGAGTGAACTAACCAAACCAGTTCCCATGCTTCTGGACTGAGGTCTGCATAGAACTGCAATAACTGTCTTGCTTCTATTTTCTAGGTCCTGCTTCAAATGTCACTGGGATAGCTTCTTTCTGGGTGAGTCTTTGAATAGTCATTTCATAAATAGCAGCCTCCTGGATTCTAATGTACAGTAGGTTTTGGGTGTCAAACCTCAGGCCTTGTAGGAGGGAGGGTACATGTATGTAATGAGCAGAAGACCAGACTTGATGACATGGATGATCGTTTTCAACTTTTGGTGGTTATTCTTGATCATCAACTTGACTACATCTGGAATTAACTAAAATCAAGATGACTGGGTACATCTGTGAGGGATTTTTTACTCAATTAAATTATATGAAG